TATAATGGAAATAAGAGCAGCGTGCTACTCAGTTAAACTGAATGCATTCAGCGAGAGTCCCCTCAGAGTTAGATCGATCTACATAGAACGATAGTTCCATTTAGTATTAACACTAATTTATTATTTTTAATTCAACGAACTACTAACATTTAATGTTTAATACCCCCCCCCCCCCAAAAAAAAAAAAAGAAAAAAAAAATCAGGCCGGAAATTTGGATTAAGTTACACATAGGCTACTTGAAAGACATTTTTTCACACTAGTTGTACCAGTAAAGGGGTTGTGAACTTTAGGCCTACTTCAGAAAAATATCTTGGGCCAAAGCTTTCGAGTGTAATTAATAGGGCCTACCAGATGTGGAAAGAGTCGTAATGCGGTTCGATTTTTAAGAATGATGACCACCAGATGTGTAACAGAAATGTAGTAGTGAGAGCGACCATATAGACCCCATTCCCATAGATTTTATATCGATCTATCCCTGTGGGGAGTCTCACTAGATTACTGTCAGCTTAGCCGGCTTAAGCGTCTGTCCCGCCTACTAAAAGCTGTAAGGGGGTAATTAACAATGGTGCGCGCACGGCTGACTGCAATTTAGCCTGAACCCCCAGGGAGTTAGGTCGATCTGAATCTCAATCTCTGGGTCGATCTAAATCTCTGGGAATACACCCATAGGGCCTACGGGCTGAAGATTATTTCCACCAATACCCCAACACCCCTCCAACCCCTACCCCACTCCCGTCCAAACCAACTTTCCTTTTTGTCATTTCGAGATTGGATCTGAAGGGAAAACTAAGACTGGGTTCTAAGGGACCCTTCACATTGAAAGTCTATTTTCTAAAAATCTATTTTCTATTCGCGGTATCTTTTGATCACGGTCTGTGCCCTGAATATCCCGCGGCGTAATTACTGGCAGCGCGAGCCAGTTACTTCCGTGATCACAAGATACCGCAAATAGAAAATAGATTTTTAGAAAAAAGACTTTCCATGCGAACGGTCCCTAAATCGATCTTACAGCGAGGATCGATCCATGTCCGAGGGGTTTCTCGCTATTTAAATTGGTTTTAGCTTAAGCGGCTTAGATGACTGGCACGCGTACTGAAGCTGTCAAACGATAATTAATTACCCCCTAGCATTTTTAGTAAGCCACTTAAGTTGATTGCAGTTTAGCGAGAATCGCCTCAGAGATCGATTGATCCACAGTTAGTACGATAGGGTCTGGGAATGGTCCCTCAATTTGTCGTTGATGCTAGAAATGAAAAATGGTTCCGTATTTTATTAATTTCAGCAATTATATATGGGGCATGGTTTGTCATTTTTATTTTGATGCCAGTACGTCGATAAAAATACTGACGAAAGACCGGGAGTCGCAAACGTTAAAAGCATAGTGCTTTGAACTTTAGAAAGGGTAAGGGTCTTCCTGACCCGAGATGCCGCTCTAGCTCCCAGCCATTATATTAATACCAGATGTGAAGGCAGTGAGGTAATGAGAACGAACGTAAATTAAAGCCCCTAACACACACCACCAACACCACAATCACCCAAAACCTCTTTCTCCTTCATTTTAGGATTTGCACACAGATTGCCAGAAAGGTATTCATGGAATTTTCTACTGGGCCTAAGACGCCATTTTTTTTCTTTGGCCGGAAGTACCGTATTACGCCATTTTGCGGTTAGTCCTGTCGTTTCTTTAAAAGCCCGCCAGGATTGCCAGAATCTGGATTTTTCTGGGTATTTTACTGCTGTAGGTTAAACAAGTTACAACGTATGCACCAAACCAACAAAAGTGATTCACTGATACAGGATTAAATACCCCTATTTAACACAGACGTGTTTTTAGCCGGATGGTTATCAGAAAGTCTGTGAACCATCACGAAAAGTACATCATCTCACCTTTCCAGGGTCTTCTTCCTCCATCGTGCAGTCTTATAGTTTGTTGTCCAGCTAGCAACAAGTTTCAAAACACTGAAAAGTTAGCACGAATCCACTAATATATCTAACACTGAGACAAATGCCCGCCGCGCTGTTAAGCCGTTGCATTTAACAAAGGCTGGAGTACGCAGGCGTGTCATCTCAAGCCACGAATCCCGTGCCAATGTAGGTCAGTTTAACAGCGTATTAGTTAAAATGGATTAATTGAGCGGTTCCTTGGAAATTTGCAAACTGTTGATTTTCTTATTGAAAAAAACATAAACAGGAACCCCTAATGCAACTTGGTATTTGAAGAGCATTTTAGTGGCAGTGTTAAAACATTGAAAATACATGCTATTTTATCTTCTTTCTTTTTTTTTTCGTATAATGAAATATTTTGACCTGAAATTACTCATCTTTCCACAAGTGACACCAGACGACTTGGATTTAGGCTCCTGGGGCCGGTGTCATAAAAGAACAAATAATCATTTTGACCAAAATTTGTATTTAGTTTTGTCCTTATATAAATAATTAAATCACCCGCTTGAAAGTAATAATGTACTTAGATAATAATGAAGAATTCGTAAATAATTTAGACCAATAGATTTTAGCTAGGACTCATATGCAAACACTATTAGTTTTTGTCTATTGGTCCTAGATTTTAATGAATCATAAAGTCAGCAGGCTCAATATACTTATATTCAAAAAAAAAAAAAAAAAATTACACTGCCCAATTTAAAGGCAAGAGAAGCAAAATTTTGGGGCCGTAGCGATAGTCCGAAGGTTCAATGGTCCGAATGTTCACTATAGAACCTTCGGACCAATGAACCCTTGACAAAAAAATCCATAAAAATGTTACCACTTTTCAGACCAATGAACCTTCGGACCAATGAACCTTCAGACTTTCGAGACGCCCCCAAAATTTTCTGTCAAATTTTGTTGAAGTTAGATAATGGGTATTAAAAGTCCTCAAAAAATGCAGTGGAGAGAGATTCTAATGAAGGCAAAACTATGGACTTCTTTACCATGTAATAACCGGAACTGTATATATAAATTCATTTATTTCGTAATCGTACATTCTTGAACAACAGTACTCTTCACAAGCAGAAAAAAAGTGAAATAACTAAATAAATGAAAGAAAATTAAAAAACCTACACAAACTACTGCTTAGAGTAATGGTCACAATAAATTTTTTGTATATAATTAAAAGGAAATACACTCATTCTATTGGGTCCATGCAATGTATACTATATATCACCTCTGCTTAAGACCAGATAAAAGCAGTTATGAACTACTTTAAAGTTGACTGAATATACTCATATCTGACCAATTGTTGTATAATTCTGAATGCTCTTAATGATTCTAATGGTGCATATTGAAAAACCTATGCTTAAAAATAGAATAGAACAGCAATAATTTCACTTTTTAATCTTATCACGTGGCATATGCAGAGGTCACATGCAGTGCAGGGGAGGAGGGAGAGACGGTCTTCCTACACAATATCTACGTCAATATATTGTATATGTTGTTGAATACAATATATCAATATGTGTATAAATATGTTTAATGCATCAAAATATTAATATTGAAAAAAAAAAGGAGGAAATTTCTTCTAAATCCAGAATATTAAAGCAGGCAAAGACAGAAGCATTATTTCTCAGTCTAAAAAAAGAGGTGTGCGCCACTGCAGGTACATCAGTAGTTGGTTATTGGATTTTGAAAAAAAATAATGCTACATTATAATATACCTCTTTCAAACATCCTTACCCTCCCCAATAACAGTATTATTCCTTTGCATCACTATGACAAAGTTGTACCAAAAGCATGCAGTGAAAGAACTTTTTCATAAACTGAATCCAGACAGAAACTCCACATCTCAAATTGTTGAGCTGGGTGTAAAAATTCCATAATGCACATAAATCATGGTTTTTGCCCAGAAATAGACACCATTCTCACTGCATTTTTTCTCCTTTTTTCTGTTTTCTCTCTCATTGTTCACATTATCTGGTGGTTGATCCATCAGCAAGTAATAAAATTCACATTATGAAGATTCACTTTTGCCCTCATTATAACTTTGGAGGTCCAGTAAATGAATGTGAAAAAATATATATATATACAAATAAATCTCCCTTGGCTTTCCACAAAAAAGGAAAGTCCCCCAATCTCAAAATGTACTCTTTTCCCCCCAAGTGCATTTATACTGTTTTTTGTCGACTCAGATACAAAGCGTGATGAGACACGACTTTTGCTGCGATCCTCCTTCCTGCTGCGGAGTTCATGTCACACACATTGAGTATAAAGCCAGTACTGAAATCATCCGGGAGCATCTTCAGTAATTGTGGCACCTGGGGAAGACAAGGAGAGAAATAAATGAGAGTGTGAATGAAAACTTATCTATTCTACAAAGTGATCACATTGGCTGATTGGTTTTATTGCTTTATTTTGGCTAAACATCATAAAATTCTATTTAAATATAAGTAATATAAACAAATGAAAAACATGCACTTTGTCACAACATTCCTGACAATTTTTACATATTTCTTTTTAGATCTACATAATAAAAACATGCTTTTAATGTTAGGTTTCCAATTATGATGATCTGTTCCTACTTTCTGAACTAGACAACAAAGCTGACAAATATACAGACACCAATCAATAGTAACCATTGCCACAATATTTACAAAATACGAATAAATTTTTTAAAAACTTTGTGCGTGAGTGTGTGTGTGTGTGTGTGTGTGTGGGGGGGGGGGCATACACCTACCATTGTTTTAGGCATAAACTGCAAAATAAACCTTGAGAAATCTCCACCCACGTGTATGGTCTCTTCCAGGAAAGACAGCACAAAGCCCGTCTTTGGACTAATACAGCTATCTGTGACTATGTCTGTAAATAACTGGAACAGGGCAGCTGAAAGATATGGAAAATATGGAAGTGTTACTCAGCGAGAATGGCCTCTTTTTTCTTTTATTTCATTTATTCCTCTAATTTGAGAGCTAATTGTTCTGTGTCTATACATATGCTGAGACAAGGACCTTTTGCAGCTGCCACATTGATCACTTGTTTACTGAAAAGCTTGCTCTCCAGATAACAAAAGAATGCTGGAGAGCAAAACCTCTTCAGTAAACAAAAGAAGTCTACATCTAGCTGCAAAAGGCCTTAATTAAAGCACATCAAATGCAGTTTTATAAAACTACCACAGATACAAATGTGTAAGAAAAATATATCTGGTCATAATCTGATGAGATTTTTTTACGTCTGCTCGCCCTATGCTTTATCATCTGTTGATTGTAATAACTCATTCTTTACCTAGTGCTTTGTTCAGAGGATCTTTGACATCATAGGTTGGACTGCTTGGTGTCTCTTCTCTGTTATAAATTAAATCTGGAATGGGTGTATAGACTTTAGGTATCGAAATAATAAGCTGTACAGTATTCATCATTAAATATATTGTCAGAATTAGGGAGTAAAATGACTAAAATAACACAAGAAGAACCAAAAATTAATTTTGAAAGAATGAAAAGTATCTTAATGCACAAAACTGTCATAAAAACATGCAAGCATCCAAATGCAACTGTGACTCCAGTTAGGCAAAACTAGTGAAATGTCCAGACAACAGGGTGGAAAAAAGAAAAATGATGATATGCAGTAAAACATGATTACCAACCTAAATTGAATCCCTCTGCATCAAGTGTTATCTGCTGATGAGCTTCATCTTGGGTCTTTCTTATTTTGGAAGGTCTTGCTTCTCCAGTGCCAAATTCTATGTCCTGAAACATTCAATAAAATATGCTGAAAAAATAAATATATATGGTACACCTGTTGTTAATCATAAGTGAAGTGCTAAATCTTTGAAAGTTCAATCTTTTATTTAAAAAAAGATAATTCAAATTTATGGTACATGTCATTAAGAACTTAAAAAATGTAATTTTTGGACAGGGTGTTCTTTATTTCTCACCTCAATTTCGACCTCTCTTCTTGAACGCTTCTTTCCACCTGATTTCATTGGAGATGAAGGAACTGAATAGAAAAATAAAATTAACTAAAGAAGGAGCGCAAACCAGAAAATATGGCCACTTTTTTCTCTCTTTTTAACAATTTTGTCGTACAGTAGAAGAAACAACTGAAAAGTAACTACTGGCATCTGACACAGGACAGATATTCAGTCTTTCTCAATTGAATCAAAATGCCACACTGTTTCCTAAAAACAAAGAATCATTACAATTGTGACAATGAATTGTTTTTCCTATAAGGATATTTATTTATTACTATTATTTTATCTTTTTGGCAATGCCAAATTTTTCGTGGTCCAGGAATGCAGTTATCAGTTCAGAACTAAAAAGCACTAATTTGTTCATTCAAGGCCATCAAATAAAAAGTAAAGTTCATTCGAGAGAAAAATTAAACTTTACAAACTTGACAGTAAAAGTTACCAACTTGCCCTTTTCAGGACCAGCAATCTCACCTCTTGGGAACCCTTTCATAGTATGTGTTGCCCCTATGCAAAAAACGCAGAGTCTGATCAAAGCTCTTCCTCGGGGGTCCACTATCCCAGGCTTGAATGACATCCCCTGAAGAATCTGTGGCAGGGTGCTGTGGAGGAGGCTCAAAGTCAGCTGATCCATGTCAATGAAGAAAATGGCGGACACAAGTGCAACGGCGTGCTCCAGTTCTTCCACACGCGTGAACTGTAGCATTTCCTATCAAAAATTGTAATGGGTGATCAAAAGTGGTACATGTAATTCATCCTTAATAATTTTTTTTAAATCAATAAACAAATGAATTTATTAATGGATGAATTTCTCAAAACATTATTAAACTTAAGTTGGAAAATCTGGTTCAATATATACAGGTATATCCTTTTTTTCCCCCTAATGTTCACATAATCTGGTTGTCGGTACCTCAACAACTAGTAAAAACCACATGATGACGATTCACTGTTGTCTCATTGTAACTAAATAGGTCTACTAAATATAATCAGATACCTATAAAATCAATATATTTAAAACTAAAATAAAAAATCAATTACAAGATTGCAATCCTTTTACCCTATTTACCTTGACTAGTGTTTCACAGAACCACTCGGCACCCCCAGTACAGTACAGCTGTTCTAAATCATGCAGGGCCTGAATACTTAGCCAACCTTTACGATAACTGGCCAGGAACGTCTGCTTCAAGGTGGCGTGAAGGTCAGATTTACCAGACAAGCTGGTTTTGTTAGTCGTCGCTGGGAGTAAGTCGGCGGCCATCTTCAGGATAATGTTATTCATGAGGGTTGATCTAAAATGGAAGATAATGAATCAATATTTAAGAATTATCAAATATAATGAATTGGTCATTTGACTATAGAGAAATACAAATGTATAGGCACCATATAATTCACTGACACAATATAATTCACCAATTCAATGTGTAAATTAGTCCAAAGTTTTTGACTGAATCAATAGTTTATAAAAATAAATGATACGAGATAATATTACATTTGTAATGTGTTTTAGAAGATTGAAATGAAACTCAAAAACAAAACAAAAAATAATAATAATAATATAAATAATATTAATAAATAGAAAAATAACAAAAATTAATTACAACACTAGCTAAGCCATGTTGCAGAATAAATGTCTCTCAAGTCCCACAAAAATCCTAACCTTTCACTTGAAATGTTGAATTAATAATTTTACAGACAATGCTTTCATACCATCAAATTTTCAGTTCTACTCAAGAGCCTTCATTGTCTGTGAAATTATTAATTCAACATTTCACGTATATATATACCAGAACAATAAACTTTTTTAAGAACTAACCTTTCACTGTAATACTGATTGGCAGTATCTGGTGTCTGGGAGTGGACCACGGGCTGCTGTAGCATGTCTATCATCTGGAGAGGTTTCATTCTGGCTGTACTGTTCAGAGAACTGATGTGTGTACACAGCCATGACACCACTACCACTGGGAGACAACACAGCTTGGACTTGATGTTACCCATCATTGTCTGAAAATTATTAACATATAATGTGTATATTCAATATGATTTTATACTTATTGTTATTATTTTAAATCTATTTCTGGGCTTTTGATGTCCATCAATAGGTGAATCCTATGGTGATGTTGCATCTTCATCCTCATGACAACCTTCCAAATTTAGTAAACAAATAAAACAATCAAACAAGAATTTTCTCTATAAAAATTATAATCTTTGAATTTTAACCCATATTTTTCTAGTGTACTTTAAACGAAGACAAGTGCACATGATATGCCATTATTATCAAAAATCACAAATGGCTTATGTTTGAGAACGCTAGTTGCTTTATTCCAGGCCACTTATTTGGATTTTTCATAGTGCATAGTTGAACACAAAAAAAGGTAGTCTTCAAGTTTTTAAGCAAACTGTTGCTCACCCTGACAGTGTCTCTCATGATGGCCCCGTGCTCCCAGGCGTACAACACCTCCTGCACCGTGAAGGGAATGTTATTACACACGTCCTGCCACTTGGTATGGCTGGAATGAAAATGTTATTGCATATTCAGCCTCTATTATGATTACTTAAATGCTTTAACAGAATTTGTGGCTTGACAAAAATGACAGTATGACAGAAACAACAATTTACACAAATGCAAATATTAACTAATCAAATGATTTTTAATTACTAAAGCTTTGCAACACCATTTAGGGGCTTCAACACAACTAAAAGGTTAAATCTAGATGCTGATCTATCAGGTTTTAAGCTTTAAACAATCTTTTTTATTTCAATTTTCAAGGGTAGGCGGCATTGTCCAGAAAGGGGGTTATTCAGAGTCAAATGAGGGGGGGGTCTTAAAATCCTTCACCTGCACCCTGAGTCCCCTACCTTGTTTTTAGCTCTCCTCCAGCATTAAACTGCTGCAGAAGAGACTCCACTTTCAGGGGGTCTGGCTGAAAGCTGTTGTTGTCCAGGCATTTGGCTTTCCCATCCTCAGGCAGACAGCGCTTCACCCACTGTGCAAAGAACGAGTCGGCACATTCGATGTTGGAGCTGATTATCTGTGTATTGAAAATGTTATGAATATAAATATGAAAAAATTCTATTTAAATGTATATAATATATAAATAGTCTGAATGAACAAATTTTTTTTTTAAATTTAATTTTTATTATGTTAAAAAGATTATCCGTAAATCATAGTGTCAATCGAAATGTCTATATATGACATTCACTTTGAAGTAAAAAGTAGGCTACCTAGGTACAAATGGGACAAGTTATTAATTTTGAGATTTGATATTTGAGAAATACAAAATAACTACTGTAGGTTTACATTTGTGCCATCTGATTTCAATGTTCACTCCAATCTTGAAAAAAAAATACTCAGTAAAACCAACAACTTAGACATAAACCCCATTCACACGAGACACTTTCAATCGCGATTAGTGCCAAATCGCAATTCTATCGATGTAAAGCTTCTAGTGTGAACGCAGTAGAGACGCCAAATCGCGATTCAAATGAATCCTACTCGAGAGGTGGATTCTATCGATGTAAACTTAAATCATGATATAAAGTTTCCAAGTGAGAACGGGATCGATGTTAACACTGGAAGTTGCGGACTTCAGGCGCGTGCACAGTTTCTATCAAAAGTACAATACAATAAATTTTATTTCATGTCGGGTATAAATTGAAACAAAACATTAGCTAAATACAGCTATTCGCCAACTGGAAAGTGAAAGAAAACAAACTGTCTACGCAATTTCAAGTTTCTTCGCAGTCAGCAAAATGGCCAAGAGGACGTACTGCTCTGAAAACTCAGTGGCAGCATAACTAAATATTTGGGCCGATGAGAGTATTAAACAGAAAATAACACTGTACACACCGAAAGCATGGTCTTGAAGGCAGCTACTGCGCATGATCAACAGGATATACCATGACTCCCCTAGCGAGCGCAGTTGCAATTACCAGATCTAGCAAGGTAAATCGCGATTTCGTTTTTACATGTGTGAACGCAAAAAAAAGGAATTTAGCTAAGCGCGTTAGAATCGCGATTCCCTTAATCTCGTTTAACCATGTAGGTGTGAATGGGGCTATAGATTTCAGTAAAATATTTTCCTCATTCCCCTTCCAAAATTGAAAGAGAAAGTGCGTGTGTGTGTGTGCACGCACCTTGGGAAGTGGGGAGGGGGGCAAGAAGCCATCCACACCTACCTCAGATCCATACAACTGTGCAATGTGACACACCATCAGGAAAGTGATATCAAACAAGAGAGCTGTCGTCTGTGCAGCCTGGTCTGTGTCACCACTCGCCTGCTTGGCAAACTCATTAAACCTGGGACGCAAAAGCAAACAGAAAGAAAATAAATCAATATTTTTTCTTATGAGTGTGGTTTATAACCTATATAAAGCATACATTTTTCATTTTTTTCACAAAAAATGTGATCCTAAAGGCAGGGGCAGACAGAAGCCATTCAGTTTACATTTACAGGCATCTAAATTTTGCTGTTGAAATACGGTCAAAAATGGAGGATGGTTCAACAAAGATAATTTGAAAGACTGTAAGAAAATATCCCTGGATCCACCCCTGCTAAAGCCATTACAATGAAATCCCCCCTTCCATTACATTCAATAGGTCCATAAATTGTTTAAAAAATATTTTCAAACTCACTTGATCATTTTCATAGCAAAACTCTGCAGTTTCCCTGTGGCAGCTGCAGCAGCAAGTATCAGTTCAAAACTTCTCCCAGATAACATGTGGAACAGTATACCCAGTAGAGATTCTTGGCTCTTGGAGTAGTCAGCGTCCAAAGTCTGGTTATAATAAATAAATACATAAATATGTCTAATTTCAACAATTTTAAAGTGAATAATAGGCCTACCATCTCAGTAACTGAACAATTCTGCACATATGGCACCTGAGGAGCAAAAAAAAAAAAAAAACCTGCCAGATAAAAGTCTGTGTAATGATGATCATGTCTGAAATAAAGCAATACACACTGACATGATTTGCAAACACTGTATTTATAGGTTACGGCGGTATTAGTTTCTGCTGGATATAAAATAAAATTCCACTAAAGTCTGGCAATCAAAATAAAGCTTGGCAATTAAGACAGCTTAAAAGCATGCCATTATTTCAGTACAAACATTAACTAACTAACTAATAATTAATCACATAAAAATGCTTTCTGTATAGATAAACTTTATGGCAAAAATATCATACAAAAAATACATGCAAGAAGTTACTATTATAAGTTAAGGGTCTGCTCTTCACAACACTAGGAATCACATCAAATCTACTTCAGTTAGTCCTATCTTGCAGCTTTATTGTTACAATAGATTACACTACACTACCAAACTTTGGATAGATGGCACTACAAGATAGGACCAACTCATTCCTTTTAACTTCTATAACATTGATGAAGAATGATAACGCATAGTACTGTCTGAAGTAAAAATTGCAACAAAATAGCCAACTACCAAGTGTCTCACTCCAATGCAGGCTCATACTAATAGATAAAACTAGCTATTAAGACCAGAGGGTGAACAGAAAAGACAAACAGAAAAGTTTTACTTCAAGGAAGCATTTTGCCTGTACCACCTTAAAAAACCAACTCTCCCACCCCCTCTCACCCTGTACTCTGGCCTCCACCCCCCCCCCCCAATCCTTAGAAAAAACAAAATTTGTCCACAACTTACAGAATTTTATCTATCATATTTATAGTATGCAAGGTCATTATGTAACTGTGCCCAGACTGAACTGAAGGCAAAACCTCCCCTCCTCGAGCTGAGATTTCTGAGAAAACGCAGTCTTCCAATGCACATGTATAGCACAACGATACAATAAAGTAGCTTTACATGAAGACCTATCATAAAGCCAAACCCTGAGAATGTATATTGTGACCCTTCATCCCCCCACCCCCTCCCTACCACAAATCTATTCTACAGCACACAAAAGCACACTGATACAGTAAGCTAGCATCACCCAAAGGACATTATAGTGCCATACTCTGGGTACAATCACACCACAACCCCCCCCCCCCCAACACCCCACTTCAAATCTATTCCACTGCATACACACAGCACACTGATACAGTAAGCCAGCATCACCTGAAGGATATTATATAGCTGTACCTTGAGTATGCTAGCCACAGTGGGCTCAGCTCTCAAGATGAGGCTAGCACTGGGTTGCTGGTTTTGTTGGACAGGCGTCTTTGGTTTCTGGGTGTCCTTCATCCTAAGAACAAGAAGGCAAAAAAAGAATCATCAGTTTAAGTTTTCACCTGATTCAATGTTTTTACACTAAATTTGGGATATTTTGTTTATAACTTATTTGAAAAATCATTTGGTGGACTTTACTGATATTAAATGTCATCGTGAAGTCCTTTGTAGAGATTTAGCAATGAAATATACATCAAAATGTTGTAAAACCATTGAAAAGTTTTTTGCACATCCCCCCTCCCTGACCACACTTCATCCATCAAAACCCCTGTTTAACAACAGGAATCCCCTTACCGTCTGGCCAACAACTTCTTACACTGGGCGTCTGACAGCAAGCCGTGTGTACACAGCTTTTTCAGGAACAAACTCAAACAGTCACAACTGAAAGAAAATAAAAATAGCAGATTTATTTTACAAATTACTGGAAATTATTTCTGGTGTCATGCATATGGCACATCTTATCACGTTTGTGCGAGGAAAACTTTTCTCCACTTATAAAATTGTTTTTATAAATCACTTCAAATGTGTTTTTTCTTCTTATTTTGTTGAGTTCATTAAGTACATTAACAATCTGGGGTAGCGTTAACACTTGCCAATTTAGCCAAATGCTAAAACTGACTTAAATTGGCTAAAGAAAAAGGGCTTAATTTGACATGTTTTAGCCAAATTATAACCATTTTGGTAACAAATTGACAGATATGTGGTAATTTGGCTAATATTTCAAATGTTGAGTTGAACCAGAAATACAAGATAAAATAAACTCACTTGCACTTGGAATCTGTTAAGTCCAGTAGGGGAACGTAATTAAGGAATTTCTCAAATGCTGTCTCTAAATCTTTACTGCAGTCCCGTAGTGGAGACTTCTGGGAAAACTTGGCAAACAAGAGGGGCAGCTAAAGATGTGCAAATATAGAAATGTAACAGTTTAAACTCATCAACTGGTGCAAAAAAAATATCACTTTTATGACACATGACATTCATTCTCATTTCTTCCCCAATTTCTATATTTTTGTTATTCATTCTCCTTCATTTCAATTTACATATTCAAGAGTATGAACAATATGTGATAATAAGATTTTAACATGTGGATGCAAATTGAGCAAGAGATCTCAGGGCCACAAGGTTCCATAAAAAAAAAACATGAAAAAAACACATGCAAAAAAACCCTGCAAAACTTCATAGCTAGGATACTATAATAAACCAATACAAAAATATAATAAAAATAAATAAATAAATAAATATATATATTTATTAATAAATACCTTAAGATAAGTGAAAGCAGCCCACTTCAACTCCTCTGTTCCATCTTTAGAGTCTATCATCCCCATGAAACATGCTCGCAATATCAGGCAGTAGAGGTCTGTACGCTCTACCTTCTACAATGATAAAGATTTCACTTAATTTTAAAGGAGGAAAGTTATAATTTTGTGACTTATTGGGCGATGAAATTCATTTGGCTACATTAGAAATGCTATAACGATAACAGCAACATTGGAGACACTTAACTGGAGTCAGAGCAATTCTGTTTTGTCCATTCCTCACAAACAAGTCCAAGCATTATCATATGACCGCATAGCATTGTTCAGACTCAAATATTCAAACTTCCTTAAAGGATAAACTTTACTTCCATTGTTGAAGAGTATTAAATCATTTTGACCAAGTCTACTCACCTTATGATTAAGTAAGACTAATTAATTTTGGCAACAGAAGAATTTTATTAACAATAACGTCAATAATGAGTTCAACAGCTAAATCTACCTTTTTGGTTTCTAACATATTTCCCTTTAACTTTTTTTTTCTCCAAAGAAGCAACAGAAAACAGTTTGTGAATTTCACTCCATTTTACCTTGGCTCGTTCCAACAAAATCAACTGCTCCATGATAGGACGCACATCATTGGTCGGATTGAGAACTGCCTCGATGTTTAGCATGACGCTGACTGTGCTCAGGACTGATCTTGTTGTCATGGAAACAGATGGTTGCGAGGTTGTGGGGATAACATAAATGCTAAAATGAATCAAAATGTTCAAATGTTATTTTTCTCTTTGAAATAACAATAATTAATGCCAAAAAAAAATGAAATTTATTTAATTCATGATCTAATCCTAAAGTGCAGAAAATGAAGAAAACTGACTTATGTTTTAATGAAAGTTTTGCAGCATCTTTCCAATAATAATGTTAATGAAATCAAATCCCTAAATAATAAACAAATCTAAAATATATTCAGTTTCTACATCTTCCTTCTCTACCAACTTGCATAAAAATATCAAAATGCTGTAATCCAAAAGGACTAAGATGAACAGCTTGAAAACAAAACCTTTCCTTATTTTTTGAAAAACAAAATCTACACTCAAGCTACATAACTCACTTTTCAATCCCTTTCAATATGCCTTCCACCTTTTCTTTCAGCTGCGCAGTGATACAGGCCGGCTGAAGTTGGTTGAAGACGCCGCGGACATTCATTTCTGTCTGCTCAAGTTGTCTGGCTGACTCTAAAAACATGCAATATAGTGACAAATATTGTAAAACTAAATTTTTTCTTCAGTTGTTTCAGAAAATAGTTAAGACATATTGACTCTATAAGGCTAATGCTACCATAAATTGATTTAACTAATAGTTTTCATTTTTAGGAAAATCTATATTTCTTTAGCTATAACAGCAAGAAATTGAAAGTAGAACAGCAAATAAATTTGTTATAGCCAATTAATGTTTATTAGTAACTATGTACACCGTAGGGTGATGAATGACCCAAATATAGTCACAGTCTAGATCAGATCTTATATGTTCTCAATTTAAATATATTACTTATTTCCATTTTATAACAAAAATCAAAAATCTAACAAAATTTAAAATCCAATACCTGAATCCTCAAACTTTGCGATATACATCAACGCTTTACTGGATTCACTTTTCATCACCATGGCAACCAAGTCACATGACCTATCCACAATGCCGAGGTACTCTGCTGCCTGCTTGTTATCTTGTAGGCTCTGCAAGCCGCGGTAAGCAAGCTGTAATGCCCAGTTTACTGTCTGCTGCAGAGTCTTACACAGAGCAATCGAGTCTTCTGAATAGGCATGTGAGCTGGAAAAGAAAATGAAAATTTCTAAATTTGACAGGTGAAGTTTCGAAGCAAAAAAAAAAGAGAAAAAATTAATAAAAAACAACAAATAAAAGAGAAGTAAAGTCTTATGTCTTTACTGGTGAACCCTGCAAAATTAACTCATTTCAATGTTTATCCACGGTTTCTGTAAAATAAGGTAACTGAATTTCTCTTCTGTCTAATATATTATTTTGCTTCAACTCATGAAACCTGGGGTAGAATAGGCACTTCTTCACTCTGTAACTAGGTCTTCTTACCTAGTTACAGAATGAAGAATTGTATGAATACATATCCCTATTTCTCAGAAATGTGAACACAATATCACCTGATTTTGGCCAACATCCCAGTCACTAGCTCCAGCAAACTTTTTATACAATATGGGCGTGCCAAATCCTCATACTTCATGACGCTCTTTAACACACTGGCTGTCGTGATGATCTGGAACAGGGATTGAATGAAACTGCCATAAAACTGTTCTGAACATTAATTTTTTACATCATATTCAATAAAAGGACGCAGTTTAATACCAGTTGTGATTCCCACAAAAAGTACAACATATACTTTTGCATTGACAAAAGTTGTGTATGCAAATCATAGTGTCATTAACAAACAATTAAAACTAGTGAAAAGAACATGTACATCAACTAAAGGTTTAATTCCCAATATAATATTTTCACTCTTAGTGGGAGCAGGAGCAGTGCCTCAAATAAATATACAATTTCAGGGAGAAGAACAGAATGGATCCTTCTTGGTGAGACAATGACAGAAATGGTATTCTGAGATTCAAACAAGAGGGGAAACTTTCTGTTTGTACTTTTTAATGAAGAAATGAACTCATAAATACCTGAGTGCTTTGCACATGTTTGAGATACGAGAGCACCAAGGTGTTGGGACTGGTTCCCACCAGAGCTTGCTGGAGGATCAAGTCTGAAAATAAAGGGGGGAAAATTTAGGTAATTTTTTGGTTAAAAATGCACTGAAATTGCAAAAAAAAATTGTTTTGTCAAATTTATGTTTCTTCTTTTAAATTCTCACATAATAAATAGACAAATAAAATAAAAAATAAATAATAGATTAAATAAATAAATATCATATGTAATGTTATGTCATAACACCACTCATGACAATATTCTTCATTACTAGCCTAGGTGACATTTGTACTAGCCCACTTGTTTCCTCTGCTATAAAAAAACTGCCACACATAAACTCACCAGCTAAATTTGATGAACCTTTCAATGCACACTAGATTAAATTGGGGCATAATTAAGCTGAGTAACTGTGATACATTTCATTCACACATTTGGGACGAAGAAAGTCAAGTAAGATATGTAGTAACTCCTTGCAGATATTACTTTAAGTGCACTGTGAGACAAAATGACAATTTTATCAATAAACACAATCAATTTACGTCTTGGGGGTTCAACCCCCTTGATTAAACTCACCAGCTAAATTACACATCTCGGCCTCTGCGAAGCGAGTGAGCAGCCTCTTCACAGTGATACCCCACTGTATGTCTGACCACCTCTCCCTCCACGCCCTCATCAGGAGGGACTTCATGCTGCTCATGTTTTTCTCTCCAGCCTGGGTAGTCATTGGGAGTCACTGGGTAGTTCCAGGGTCATCCATATGAATGTTGAACCTGTTGCTGCGGACAAAGTTACACACTTGATTATTTTTATTAATAATTTTGTTTTTCTATTATGAAATAAATAAAATCACAAACAAAAAATTATTAATTGAAAACAAAAAATTGATTCTTATACAAGGTTATTTAGTTTTTCTTTTTACTTTCTTCATCGCCATTAAGGTGGCTGGTAAGGTATAAACAAACAGCATGTACGGCTCAAAACTACAAGTGTGTGTTTTCATATTTATAAGTGTGATCAAATTCTTTCATTTGTCTCAGTTTTCAGGCTTACATGCGAGGCGGGACTTTTTATCCTAGATAATCCTAATTCCACCCTGTGTTACAAACTGTCGGGGCTATAAATACCCACATCCTTAAAAAACTGGGGTTTTGTTAAGACAAAACTCGGCTTGATGACTTGAGACAATATCGGTTTCTTTAATTTAGTCAAAAGTAAATACAGTAACAGACCATCATTATGAGGTTGGCATAACGCCGGGTGGAATATAGTTTTTAACAGTTTTATGTGAGGTTTAGGTATGACAAGCCTGTAAAAATGTAAAATAGAGGGCGTTTCCGCAAATCAATAAATTGCAGAATTTTAAGTATGTTATTCAAAAACAGCATAAAGCCGCATAATGTTTAACAAAGCACGTACCACTATGCCGCTACATTACGCCGGAAGTAGAGAGTTCTCCTAATTTTGGAGGCAATGTATATCAGCAAGTCACGTGGTCCGTAGCTGCAATCTCATTGGCTGACGCGCAAAATTTGAACAGTTCTGTCTGAAGAAAGAGGGACACTGATCTTTGAAAATAATAATAGACAAAACATTGAAGAAGTAGCCTTTTAAAACCGACAGTAACAGATCACTAATTAAAGGTAAGGCACTCCGAATGTTCTATTTATTTTGTGCATGATTACGGATTGATTAAAGTATCCAAATGAGGTTTTCAATGAGAAATATGAAAACCGGCTGAAAATGGTTGATAACAACAGGAAACGAGACAGAGTAAGAAAAAAATATTAGACGAGGAAATCTTAATTTGTTTTCAAATCTTGTTAAACTGATATGATAAAATTGTAGCACAGACAAGGTAAATATATCTCATGTGTTGACAGGATGATAAATGCAGTTTAATCTATCTCCAGATTAATAATACCTCACTTTGGAATCATGGAGTCGTCGAGCAGGCTGTCTCTTGTGGCGGCCTTTGATGACTTGGTCAGAAATACCACTGTACTGACTAGTGGAATTGAAGGAGGTAAGATGACAACATTCAGTGTTTTAGAAATTGAAGTATGTGAGCTCAACGCTATCTTGAACATCCTGTATCCCCCCCCCCCCTCCCCCCAAATTAATAATAATAATATAAAAAGCAAATCTGGTTGGGTTTTAAATCTGGTTTCAATTTTCAAAGCATATTCCATAGTTAACCATTAGCAAGACAAATGTGTTTCTCTTATTTATGTCATAAACTTTAGAAAAGGTAAAAATGTAATTAAAAATAAGAGGAAGATATTCTTTTCTTTAATTGCCATTTCATTTTTTCCCCAGAGTTTATAACTTTTGCGAGAAATCAAGAAGAATGTCGCAAGAAGTGGCTGGAGGCAGAACAACACTCTAAGAAGCTGCATGATAAAATCAGAAAGTTGGAGACAGAGACCAATGCCCTGGAGACAAAGCTCAAACATGCCAGGTAAATGAATGTGACTATGTATTCAACAAAGTTGATTACTAGTACATATAACGGTAAAATGTAATTGATATGTTGCAGGCCTAATATTTGTCTTCTTTTAGGGATCAAATACACTAGATTCAGTATATCTTTATTTTGAAGTCTAAGAATATATCCTATTTCCATGCCTTGAATATGTTCCTTTTTTTTTCCAAAAATTTTTTAAAAAAATGTGAGTCTCACATAGATGCCTAGGTGTAGGTGTGAGAATTTGAGGGTGATAGATGCCCATTCTTTTGATGATGATGGAAATTTTGCCAATAAGTTAAAAAAAAATAAAACTGCTAAATTTTTTTTTGATATTGCAGGAGCCAGATAGAACATGAAATGAAGAAAAGAACCAAAGCAGAATCTGACAGGGACAGTTTGGTAAGATTTAGCTGCAGCTTTGTTTTAGCCAATAAGAAATTGTTTTACAAAAAAGAAAAAGCCAGTTGGAAATTATTTTTTGAAAAAGAATTCAAGTTCATTTTCAAAGATAAATCCAAAGTATTTTGCATTACTGTTAGCCAGTTATCTGAATTCTTCCACAGTTTCCCACTCAAGCATAAGGTTGTCATTTTATTTTATTTTTATCTTGAGGGCATTTGGAATTACACCGAAAAGAAGTCTTTTAGCTGGAGCTTTTTTGTAATATTGTAAAATGTATACAGTAATGCAGTTGATTTTATATTTCATATCCTGATCCTTCTTTAGTCTTCAACAATTTTTAAATTGATCTAAATGTACTCGCTCACATTTTTGTCCAGTTTTCATAATTTTTCATATTGTTTGTTGATTCAATAGGAGCGGCAGGTTGCCCTGATCAGAGAGTTGCTGAATGACAAGAAGAGTTCCAACATGCTGAATGACCAGGATCGCGAGAAACTTGCATTCCTCAGCACGTGCCAGGGCTCCCACATAGAGGGTAGTCCAAGCAGAAGGTGGGTGGATGGGGGCTTGGTTGTTGTGAAATTAATGAATCAAGTGATTACACTGGAAAAGATGATTGCGTTTTAATGCTAGATGTTATTTTCAACAACTGAAGCCAATGAAATTGTATTTAGACCCAGGTGAAATGTTTCAGTATTTATATTCATGCAAAATTGTGCTAAAAAGGACCCGGGTTGTGACATTAAGCCATCATTAGTGCGGCGTAGTGCCTGTAGTCAAATTATATATGCACTTGCCCTGTTCACTCAGTCACTTGAAATCAGATTCAGTTTTGTTTTCAGTTTTCCAAACAGTAAGATTTGCCATGCAATGAATTTATGTGATCAAACAGAGATGAAAGTCTGTATATTAAAGGCTTTATTTTTATGTATGTTAAAAATCTTCCAGACTTGAAACCATCAATGAATCCTCGGGCTCCGTCCTCTCTCCCTCCGACATCAGCTATGACAAAACAGAGGAGGACCTGGACATCTCCTACCTCCGCAGCGGGAGGAAATTCAAGCGTGCATCAGCGCCACCTATTGAGGAGGAGCACCGCCAGCACACCAAGCGCAAGAAGAGTTCCCATGGAGGCCGTGCAGACACGTCCATCACTGCCACTATTCGCGTGGATCCGAGAGGCGATCATGCCACGTGTGAGGTGACCAGCAACCTCCCCAAGCACAAGACAGAGACGAGAGTGTTGAGGAAGTCATTCTCTGAGAACCAGTTGAGATTTGGTGAGGCCTGTTTTTGTATAATTTCTAAATGATTTACAGTCCCATCAGTGTTATCTTTTGTTCATATTTGACTAATTTTTTGTTTTTGTATGAAGAACTGTATATGATAGTGTAGTTTCTTTCGCATCAATGACATTTTGCCACTCCAATCTCTGATGTTTGTATATATTGGAACATTTAGTCTAGTTTGGGCCTTTGTTTTCCTTGATGATTTACTACCTGTTGGGGCAAAAAAGTGAATTTCAAAAAAGGCAATTGCAGAAAATGAAAGATTGTATTGTATAAGTAATGGTATACTGGATTTACTTACTGTATGCTTCTTTTCCTCAGATGAAGTGGACTCTGATGGGGAATCATATTATGGTAGAAAACCCAACAGTGCTGAGAACACACCCAGAACACCAGCGGCCAGGTGAGGACAGAGCAGGACTCGTAGAGGCACTGGGGTAGCCCCAACACTGGCCCATTTAACCCAGTGCCAAAACTGGCTTGAAATGGCTAAGAAAAATTGAGTTGATTTGGCTTGTTTTAGTCAAGTTTAAACCATTTGGAGAAGAAAGATATTAAAAACTTTAAGTAGTAGTGATTTGACTAAGCGGGGAAAAATTGCTAGCATAACCCCAGCGTCAGTTTAGTGTGAGGTTACAATCTAACAATGATTTATTTACTTATTTTCGATTTTTTAACACGTGGTTTTGCTTTTATAAACTTGTTTAATGGTTTTGCTTTAAAAAACTTGTTTAAATTGAACAAAATACCCTGGTATTTTTGCACCAATCTTTTAAATTTTATTGACTGGATCACTGATTTCAGGGGGTCTCCAGCACTGCGCACCTTCAACTCTGGCAGCAAACCTTTCGGGAACCGAGGCCACTCTTTTGCCACCAAGACATTTGTGAAGCCAGAGACCTGCACACCAGTAAGTACTTGACAAATTATTGTGCAGTTAAAAGAAAATATGAAATTTAGAAAAAAGGAGAGGGGAAAACATTAAGAAACATATTTAGTTGATTGGTTGTCAACTTTGTGAACAAAGGGGACTACTCATGGAACACTTACTGGTTATTTGTTTTAAAATTTACTAATTGCTTTTGTTTAAATTTTGTTTGGATGGATAGATGTCATGTTGCTTTGTGGAATTATGCATTATACTTGTTATATTTTCTTGTTGTTGATGTAAACTTTGCCATTCCATTGAAAAAGAACAACTTAACAGTTGGATTGGAATATTTTCAAATAAGACCAAAATAAATTTCAATTATAGAGAACTGATACATGTTTTAAATTTTGTCATTTTAGTGTGGAAAAAGGATTATGTTTGGAAAGCCTGGTCTGAAGTGCAAAGGTTTGTTATTTTACATTTATATTCTCTCTCTCTCTCTCTCTCTCTCTCTCTCTCTCTCTCTCTCTCTCTCTCTCTCTCTCATGCATTTTCACTATTATTCTCTTTTTATCTCAGACAACTGAAATTTAATTATGTGAGATTCTGTTATCATCTTCCTCTCTGCTGTAACGAATTACTATCCTTAATTATTTATGAATGTTTAAGTTCATAATGCTTTTTTGTCTGTGTCCAGATTGTCGGTGTGTGTGTCACCCAGACTGTAAGGAGCAGATGCCATTGCCTTGTGTTCCCGTAGGCTCTGGAACTCCTGGAAACAAGACTCGCGGGGTAAGCACTGGGTATTTATATCATAGAAGGTTTTATTATCTAGGTAAGTCAATGAAATTTAACATACAGTGCCTACTCTAGAGTTTTTACTGGGAAGATTAAAATTGCCTGTGGGGAAACTCTTAGTTGTTTTTATTTTATTTTATTTTTTTCCAGTCGAGGTTATTTGCTTGAACTTGATTCATTTTCCATGCCGTGTTTTCTACTATTCCAGCAAGGTATCATCTCGGACTTCACTCCATCCGAACCTCCCATGATCCCTGGAATATTGGTAAGTACCTGTTTCCTGATACTTTCAAGTCACATTTGCTGGGGTGGTTCTTACGCATGACAACTGACTTTAATTGGCTGAAAAAATAGGATTGATTTGACCCTTTAAACTACTTGGAAACAAAATGAATGAAAAAGAAGTGATTTGGCTAAGCAAAATAAATAAAAAAATTGCTAGCTCTACCCCAGAAAAAGGGGTAACCCCCCTCCCCCCCCCTAATGTTTATCACCTTGTCAGTCAACAAGAGAAATAGAGTTATGAATGTTTTTCTTGAAAAGGGTATCTGAAATTTCATGTTTTTACATTTCATATTGTTCTTTATGTAAGAATATTAGAGTGAGTTTTCCTCTCTTCAGATTCACTGCATCAATGAGATTGAGTCCCGTGGACTGTCTGAAGTTGGCATCTACAGAGTGCCAGGGTAAGCTATTTGGACATAGTACATTTAAGAAGAAAATGGACTAGTACAATAATTGCATTTATCAAAATTATCAGTTTTATAGTAAGTATCTTAAAATATGTTTTTTTTCTTGAAACATGAGGCCTGTAGAATTGTTGCTACTAGTGTTATCCATTTTTGAAAATGTAGCAAATTAAATCAATAGAAAAATGATATGGAATAAAAGATGAGATGATAAATGGGAAATGTTATTTACCCTGTTGTTTGTTCCATTAAGGTCTGAGAAAGAAGTTAAAGATCTGAAGGAGAAGTTCTTGAGAGGAAAGGGAACTCCAAACTTGGTGAGTACAGAGGAAAAATGACACTAAAAACTTGCACTCGGCTGGCTGTTTGATTGATTCTGTTATTGATTGTTTTTTCTTGAAAGATTTAATTACTTGTTAATGAAGGGTAGGGTTTTTCACCTTAATGGTGTGAAGCTGAATTGTTTGAATCGATTTGATTTAATTTTTAGAAGGGCTATATATGTATCCTACGCAGAGATTTCTTGTATTAGTTGAGAGAAAAAAGGACAACCTTGAATTGTAATCCATTTACATCAATTATATTATGTGTACTCCTTGTGTGTATTGCTTTCTTTGAAGCAGCTTGAAAGATGAATACCATTTATAACAGAGTTTTTACTATTAAAAAAATTAGTATATTTGAGTGGTGTGCTTATGTCCCTTGGCATTCCTATTAGAGATGCGCACCTTCTGTGCTTGCTTTTTCCATGATTTCTTCAGAGGTCCATTATCATCTCTGTTGTGACTGTCATTACAGGGTAACATCAATGACATCCACACTGTTTGTGGCTGTGTTAAGGACTTCCTGAGGCAGCTCAAGGAGCCACTGCTGACCTTCAGACTGTGGAGTGACTTTGTGAAAGCTGCAGGTGAGGGTCTTCACATTTACTTATTTATTTATTAATTTACTTATTTATTTAAAATCTTCATTTCTTAACTTTTTAGTACATTTAACATTTATGAACCACAAATAGCAAAGGCATTGAAATATATTTTTATTATTATTATCTTAATAATCTTAAATAGTTTAGCTTCAGTGGAAAAATTGACAAATAAAAAACACCAAATTTTCTTTTTCATGAAAAGTTGTTCCATATTTCAGAAATGAATGACCTGGAGGAACAGCTGAGTGGCACATACCAAGCCATCAGCATGTTGCCACAGTCTAACAGGGACACCCTGGCTTTCCTGATCCTACATCTACAGAGGTACGTCTTCCCCCAGTCTTACCTTCATACAGAAACTTCTTAAGTCTTGAGCAAAAATGTTCATTAGCTTGCTAGTTGGATCATAAATGAAAATTATCAAACACAAGCCAAAAAACTTTCATACCATTAACTTATGGCCTATCTGTGGACTCCTTCCCATTGAAACAATCGTTCAAAGTAGATCACTCCAACTCTGCCGGACTCTTGCTGAATGCAATCAGGTTAACACCATAACATGCCTCTTTCTGGCTATGAGTAGAATACAGAAAAGCTGGAAAGAAGAGGTGTTTTAATCAGATTAGATTCAGCAAGAGTTTCCTTGGAGTTTGATCCATCTAAGTAGAATGGAAGTTTTATTGGGAATGAGCCCTTTTATCACTGTCCAATTTACCATTTTGATATCTCTGCTCCCATATGTCTGCACATGTGTCAGGTTTGCTGTCTATATTTTGAAATCTGTGTCATTGCCTTCTGTTTGTAGAGTGTCGGAGTGCCTAGAGTGCAAGATGCCAGCCAGCAACTTGGCTAAAGTCTTTGGACCCACTGTAGTCGGCTACTCCACCCCTGAGCCTGAGCCCATGCAGATGATCAATGAGACTAAGAAGCAGGCCAAGGTAGGCTGGATTTCTGTGCTTTTAGAATTATGGAACAAAAATAGTGTTCTGAAGTTAATGGGGTCCTTGGTGCCTCCCTATTGCATTTTATTACCTAGAATATTTAATTTTTAACAATTGGGAGGTTTGACATGTTATACATCAGCATGATCTGCATTCTCTTCAGCCTGGAGGGCAAGTTTTACTTCTGAAAGGACACGGAGACTTTTTTTCTTCAAAATTTAGACCTGATCTTTGACCTCGTTCACATTTGTCATTCACAGGTAATGGAGGTGCTGCTCCAGATCTCCTCAGACTACTGGGTCAACTTCATCCAGGCGGACGATGAACCTATGTGCCCAGGGCTACTCAGGACCCCCCAGACCCCTGACCCAGGTATGGGATTATATGAGGATTGCTGATTAAGGAAATGTACTTTATTTAATATATATTGATTAGAATGTGATAGCAGTGATGTCTCTTAGAGAGTTTGTTAGAGTGGTAAAAATGAATGTGATAGTAGGAACCAAACTTTTATTTGAAGAGTATCTCCTTTCCCAGAATTAAAAAGTTAAACTTATGCGTGGGTGGATGTTTTCAGGATTATTCATTCATTTATTTTCATATGAATCTGAATGCGATGAGAAATTGCAAGCTTCATTTTCAGGATTTTCAATTTTTACCACTTTCACACATGAACTTACGTGGTTTAAATTTCAAAATGCTTTCAGAGGTAAAGAGGTGGGAATGGAAGTTTTTTCCAAAGTGAAAGCAAAGATGCTCAAGTGTAGATATGGTTATAACTAGTCCACTTGCCTTGGTTCTAGTGCAGGGTAATAATGCATTGTTGTTCCCTTTCTTTTGTTCCAGTTCCTCACAGTATGCTGGGGCCCATATCGACCACCCCTGGGGTGAATGAATCCGTCAAGAAGAAGTCCTTCTTTACACCAAGGTAATTTATTATCTAGTCTACACTCGCGTAATTATACACATCACTCCAGACTTGGGGGGAAAACTTTGGAGGCACTGAAAGTTCAGCATACATGCACTAAAAGAAATCTGTTGGTCCTCCTAGTTCAGTGTAGGTTTGTTTTTAAATATTTATTCATTTTATTATTTTTATTTATTTATTTTTATTTATTTATTTATTTATTTATTTATTTGTATTGTGTTTTTGCATAAACCTTGCTGGTACAGAGGACCTGCATTATCAAAAATCTTGCCTGTGTGACAGGAATGGAAGTCCAGGCTCCCATATGATAAGCACAGATTAGGGTTAGTCGAGGTATTGGGGATAGCATATGGGACTAATGGCTTTACAAAGTAATTGGGAATGGACTACAGTTGCCAGCAGACTACTATTCCTGTTACACCAGCCTTCTGGCTTCTTAGGCTAAAGCGACCAGTGGGACAGGCAGTTTCCCCCCGTCTGCATCACTCAGCTTGTTTGCATTTACATAGCGGTGGTTGAATGGGAGAGTATAGAGGTTGGCTACAGAATATGTTTTATTGCCTTTGGCCAGTTTTCAAAGTGGTTCCAAGGCAAGAACAAAAAAAAATTTGGAATAACCCCCCCCCCCCCCCCCCTCCATTCCCCTATCTTCTCTTATGTTATAACATAATACATTGAATGGTATTGATGCTGTTTATATTTCAGATTCGGCAGCAAGAGTAAGACCTTGAACAAGCGCCAAGCTAATTTCTTCTCCTCGCCAATGCTGAAGTAAAAGTATGTACAGTCAGAAGAACCATTGGAAGCATAATGGGAACGAATGTTATCAGAAAAGTAAATGGTGTATCTGGCAGCAGGAAAACGGTTTTTGTTAGAGATCCTGTATTTCACAGTGTACAAACTCTTAACTTTGTTGGGGATCATTTCAAAGAATATTCCTACCATAGTCTTTGTGTCAACTGCTGAAGTAAACGAGACGTTTATTTTATTTTAGTTCATTTATTTATTTATTAGTTTTGTTAATTTTTGATTTAATAGAAAAGGGTGTGAGTGTCTCTTTTAAGAACGCTCTAAAAAAAGGGCAGTTCATATGTTCAGGTTTTTGGGGGATTTTGAGAAAGGAGTTGTCACTTTGTAAATATGTATAACTAATGTAAAAGACGTGAGACATGTATTTGGAACTGACCTCGATTTGAAATATTTGTAAGTAGGACTTATCAATCAACAAACCGAATCATGTCATTTGAACCCTAAAAAGTTTTAGATGACTTGCTTGGTTAATGGCACAAACTAAATTGTCATTTTACAAATCTACATGGTGTAAATTTAGGCACTATTAACCCATTTTGGCAAGAAATTCTCAAAACATTACCGTCTTAGTTTATCAAGCTTTCCCCCATGCAATTTGCCCCATTGTTATGGAGCAATAGATAAATAAATACTCTTATACTGTCAGCCTTGAAAGTAAGTACAATCAACCTTGACCTTTGACACAGTCAACCTTGACCTCTTGCTATAGGGAACCTTGACCCAAATATGTATTTATAGTAGTATATGTAAAAAGAAAACATGGAGTATGTATATTGTATGCTCCACTCAACATTTCTCTTTATTTACATTTATATCTCCTAGAAAATATGTATATTTGTTGTTATATTCACTTATTTAATCAGTAGGTATGTTATTACTTGGACCCTCTCAGCAGCAGTGAGATGCATTTGTGCAATAAACTGAAATGGGGATGTTAAATAGGTGCTAGAGAGATTTTCAAAGGTTAGACTGAAGTGAGTCGGGGGTTTGGAATATGTGGTTAGTCACTGTTTATCCTAAATACCCAAACAGTGCAACTCTCTCTCTCTCTCTTTGAATGATGTCAATTTTAAGTGTGCACATGAATGTTAGTTTGAGTGCTAATTGGGCAATTTTTACTGACATGACATCGAACCAAAATTGCTCTGTACCGAGGATATATGTATGTGTGTGTAGGCTTGCCTTATAGAAATTGTATGAATTTTTCAGATGGAAAAGTCAAAATTCAATGTCTCTGCACTGAAAAAGTCAACTGTGGATAAATCTCTCTGCTACTGGTTGGGGGTGCAAGTATTACATTTGTAAACTTCACTTTTAGTTTTCATGATAAAGAATAGTGTTTAGGTAAATTTTATATCCTCAGAAAATGCCACATTATTTTGAGTTTCTCATTTAATTTCGTGATTAATTTGCTTGTAAATTATTAAAGTCAAACGGAAATGGAAATGAATAACGACTAGGAGTGCTTTACCAATATTTTAGTTGATTTCCTTTTTTTACTTTTGGCATTTCTGAGTTTTAAATGAAATAAAACTCAACCAAAGTATAATTGCTGTGTTTGTGTGCATTTCTTTTGTTGTCTTAATCAATGCTTTTATTATCATCTTTCATTTCCACATGAAATTAGCCGAGACATATGATGGGGAGTAATGAAAAAATTTAGAGCGCGTACTTAAGAGTTCTTCCTGATATAATCCAGCTGGAACTCTGGGAGCACTTCTCTCCAGCATCTTAAAGTCAATCTTCTAAAGACTAATGTCTTTTTTTTTCTTACGTTCATTTGCTAGAATCGTTTGATTGGGTGGGGGATGAGGATTAGGGGAAGAAAAGGGGGCCACTGGGGTCTCCCTGTTGTTTGAAGTATGAATTTTAATGTCATTGAATTTTTCAAAAACGATTCCGACGCACAAAAAAAGTCTTTTTTAACGATTCTGGAAACCTTCTGAATTTTAAAAACAAGAGAAACTTGAAATATAACAAATATAGACCTATGCTTGAAATTATTTTGCCCAGTTTTAATATGTCTTTTATTCGTGCATAAACAGTGGAAATGTTAATTCTGGAGAGTTTACTATTGGAAAATAACGCATGGATGTAACATACAAGACAATTCAATAAACTTGTAAGCCTTAAAGGTTTTCCCTTGTGTTTCAAGAATTAGAAAGAAAGACGAAATGTCAATAACCTTAAGCTTACGGTTCCGCTGTACCGTAAGATTGAACGAAAATCCTATCTTTTCTATCACTTGTAACCCTGCCCTAGTTCGTTCATTCGACCTACACAATATCAAGTATGTTGACTTTGAAAATGAATTTTTATTCTTATTTATTTATTTATTCTCTTGTTGTTGTTGTGTTTGTGTCGCAAAGCCCAATTTTGGGGAGGTAATGAGTATTCTGAAAGAATTCAATGAATTTTTAGACTGTCAATCTTGCTCAAAAAGATACTGAACAATTAATAATTCTTAACAAATTGTATAGTTTTTTTTAAATTAGATTATAGGATTTATTATTTTATCTGTTACTAAAGTCCAGTTATTTATTAAAAATTTTACGGAATTATCATCTTTAAATGTTTTTCCAAAGTATTTTGTACCTGTATCTTAGTACAGTCTGTTAAAAAATCCATTTTGTCTATTATCAGTTCTTGCCAGTCTTTCAAATCTTACGATCTTATTTTATTTTCATAAATCAAAGGATTTTGTCTTTTAGTAACAATGTTCAAATTGCTTAAAATCTTCGACTCGTTTTCCTTACAAATTTATACCGTCTTTATTTCTGTTTGTTAGATTTTAACTTATATTAACTTTTTGTTGTATTTTCTATTTATTTTCATTATTTTTTGTAAAAGATTAATGCTGTAAATAATTAATTTTGAGAATAATAAACGTCCAAATGCTTTACTTCGTTCAACACTTGCAAAAATAATTTAATTTTTCCTAGATCACTTCGAACCCTACATTTCCCGCTTACTGTTCTCCCGTCTTATCTACTGAGCCACAGATTCGGTTTGTTTTTCAACGGCCGTAGGACCCTCTTCTCGAATTTCAAATTACTAGTTATGATTTTTTTTCAAAAGGTAATTTGCTTAGACACAGTAGCGCCAGAAAACGAACCCAAGTCTGTTAACTCCGAGCAGCGCGTTATATCCACTCTCCTAAGTGTTCCCACTCGCCCACCCTCACCTGGTAGACTTTTCTTTTATAGTAACTAAAGGGAGTTTTTAAGAGCCATCTGGAAAAGTATTTCATATGTACGAAGTGCCCGAATCGAACCCCTACCCTTAGAGTTCAGCCGAGCCAATGCAAACGCTAAACCATTTTGGGTATAATTGTAAAGTATTTTATTTGGAGCAAAATAAACTGCCATTGTTGTATTGTCATATTTCCAAACATGTACTCATTAAAGACTTTTAGGATTTTTTATCACAAGAATATTCAGATATGTAAAACAAAAATATTGATATCTGTATTAAGACTTGTTCAAGTTTTATTTGATGAATAAACAATCTAATGAACTACTTGACTAATGTTTGGTCTTGTTATAATATTAAACATTCTTTTTTAGATAAAGGTGACAATCAGGATTAATTTCATTTTTAACAAAAAAAAAAAAAAAAAAAAAAAAAAACGCAGATATAGTGGCTGTCTTACCCAACACCACAGGAAAAATCGAAAGAGCCTAACTCTAATATCACATATTTTAAAAGTCACAAAAATACTTCAAAACTCCTAATTGCCAAGAAGTTTAATATGTGCCACCCTTTCAAAATATCATGTATCTGCCATGGTTTTTGTTTAATTTTAATCATACGGTATTGCGGAAATTTTCAGGGTATGTCTTTTCTACATTTAATACGACATAAAATTCCGACAGTTATTGCTTGGAAGGAAAAAAATTCTATGCTTTGCAAAAAAATGATTTTAAAATCATAATTTATACCTTATTATGTCCAAAAATTAACTGAGTACTTAATGAATCAATCAATTTAAAAGGCCCAACACACTGAGACAATCCTATGATGTTTCTCGAGTTTGCGTCTCGTGTATATACACATTAATGGCGCTGAATTAGTAACGACGGAGCGAGATCCACTCATTGGCTCTGGAGACGAAGTTTAGATGTCAGCAGTCGCATCTGATCTCACAAAACCTCGACCTCGTCTCGAAGTTCACCATACGTGGGTGTGTCTTGTGGTCCTGTTTTAAAGAAAGATATTATATTAACTGAACATAACAAGTATATCTGAAACAATTCTGGTTGCAGTTTTTAGTGATAAAAGTGTTCATAGTGTACCGATTTACATGTATATATATATGAACCGAGATGAAAAAATACCCTAATTGCCACCAATATGATAACTATCCACACGAAAAAAGAACTAGCAAACAAAAGACTTGCAAATCTATTTAAACAGGCCTGTAGCCAAGGGGGTTTGGGGGGGGTTCAAAAGAACCCCCCTTTTGCTGGGAAAAGGTCCCCTCTTGGTACAATATATTTAGGTACATGAAGGTTTCATGGTAAAAGGTCCACTTTTTCAGAAAAAGAACCCCCCTTTTGAAATTGCTGGCTACGGGCCTGTATTATATATAAAATGCAAAATGTATGGCAATTATTTCTACAAGTCAGAGCGTCAAATACCTTTAATGGCTTGTGAAAGCTTTGGGATCAATTCTTTGTCATCAAAAAGAATGTATTTCAAGCCTTTTATTTCGGTAGGAATTTCCTCAGGTGAAATGTTCATTACAACCGGAATGAGGACATCTCTTTTCCAATTTAGGGCTTCTTGCATGGCATACTGCAGTTCTTGTTGACACCATCCACTCTGGACAAAACTCTTGGACAGGAATGCAACGGTATGTTTGGATGCAATGATAGCTTCACTTATGGAAGTAATCACTTGTGCTCCAGGAATGAGGTCTTCTTTGGCATACCAAAGCTTAACCCCCAGTACTTTTAGTTGGTGTAGAACCGTTTCTATCGTTTCTTCATCCTCGCCGCTGTATGCAATAAACGCGTCGTGGCGGCACTGATCCAAGGACAAACTGGGAATATAAAGTGAGTCGTGGCTGTGATAGAAATACACTCGTGTATATACACACACCTTTGTTACAATATGTTTATGCACAATAAGCAAGGGCGCAGGCTGGTTATGCTGTTTATGCAACCAAAATTGTAGAAAATGTTTGTGGTTAACAAAGCAGTAAATGTAAATACTTAAATATCTGAGCTTTAGGTGAATAGCCTGACTAATTCTATTGCTAGCTCTAACATTCAAAACTCCACTCACCTAACATCTTGTTGGTTAGTGGTTGTTGAACGCGACGTGTGCATGTACCTTGCAGTGACCAAGGTCTTACAGAGGGCTTCAAATTCATCTGGGGTCATGTTGGAAATGTCCTTCACCACCCCAGCATAATAGTCCACTGCCGCAACTGTATGGGAGAATTGTTAAAAGTAGCGAAATCATAAGATGTGGATATAGATGTGATAGGCCTACACATGTAGGTTGTGCACAATCATCAATCATTAGATGCTTTATAGTATTTAATAACGACACACTATTAAACATTACTGGAAATAATAAAAGCAAATGCGCACATCTTTGATGCAGTAACATGTCCGTTCATGGGTAGACAGTTAAGATTCACGTTCGCTGTCATTTTTAAAAAATAAATCTTGACGTAAATATTCCATCAGTCTCTACGGTAAGCCTATCATCTACAATACATGTACACAAACAAAAAAATAAGCACAAATGATAAATCATGCAATGTATTAGTATATACACATCTAATTTTATAGTCCAATTACCGACAGTTGTTACATGTACAACGATATTATAAAATATAATGTATTTTTATGTATATCAAAATAATAAGTAAACATTGCTTTTACTCACTGGAAAGTCGTGGAAGGTTTGTAGCCTGTAGCCCGACACTTAAGTCTCTAATATTTGTATAATTGTTCTTATTGACCCAGTCTTTCAGTCCCTGCACTTTTTGAAAGACGTCAGGGAAGTTCGTGCTCAGGTTGGTCTGTTTAATAATGGTATATTCAGCAGGATCTAATATTTCAGCAAGGCGCTCCAAAGTCTTGGTCTGTACATACCCCTGTAAATATGGCATCAATTAAGTTATTTTACAGGAACTGGTATATTTGATGAAACTGTTTTAATATCGTCCATGAACTAGGGACGTGAGCAGTTTTAATCCCAGACACTTGACCTCTACACATCTGCCTTCCTATTGAATCTTAATTGCTCATATAATTTAACAGCATTGGACCATACTTGATCATAAAATTTAATATCTAAAAATAATCTTCAAATGAATACATCTGATTAATTGTAGTGGCGAGGCGGTGTTAAAAAATAAACATAATGTGGTAAAGAAATAGAGGTTCAGAGAGGTGATACCGCCTCCGGATATTGTACCACCAGCTGGAGTAAGCGCATTTGTATGGACCCCCCCCCAAAAAAAGGGTCACCACAACCAGTCTTGTGCTTGACAAGCACAAGAGTTCTAAAAATATGCAATATATATATATATATA